ATTTCAATTTCAATTTCAATTTCAATTTATTCAATAATAGTTAACAGTTTCATGATTATAAACATAATAATGTACTTAAAACTATTTAATTATATGAGGCAAAAAAAAAAACCCCTAGGTGCTGTGGCACCTGTATGGGCTCGATATTATATAATAATACTAATAATAATATGTTACAGGAGTGAATATCTATTGAAATGAGAAACAATTAACAGACAACCAAAAAAATACAATAAACTGATAACCTATCCAAACTTTAACAGTGTGATGTTACAAATTTTCATATCTACAACATATCATCCACAAGATAAATGATGGATTACCGACTAAATACAATGACAAACTGGTCATACCGTTCCACTATAAAACTCTTTGCCAATTTAGAAAAATGCCTAGTAATAAAAATCCCCTTTTCCGTGATGATTTCCTTTCATTCAATGCTTTGATTTCTGGAAAGGGTTGGAAGTAAAATCCTTTCGATTTAGTGCTGTTCTGTTTTATCCAATGATTTTTCTTCAGTTTGACTAGATTATTATTCTGATCTTTATTATTTTGGTCGGTACTATAGATGTTCTTTTCAGAGGAGTACTTGTGCTTAGGGTTTGATTCGTTGATTTTTACAACAGTAACAGCAGGTTTCGCTTCTTCGAATTCTTGTGTTCCACAATCATCGGGTAGCACTAGCAGCTTAGCATAAGAATGACCAGTCAGCGGCGTACTTCTGGAACCTGTATGTTTCGTAAATGTATGATATGAGACAGACTTCGGAGTTGTAGGACGTTCGCTGCTTAGTTTTGTGCATTGAAGGATTCTATGCATGGGACTTGATTTGGTTGATAAGCTCTGATTATCTTTGGTTTTCTGTTCATCACCAGAACTTTCATTTTCCACAATAAAGATTTGGTCATTTCTGAGCCCTTTCCATTTTTCGTAAGATAATACGTCAGAATCATCTGCAAGCTTCATTCTCTTTGGCTGTGGCGTTTCTGAATTATTTCCATCTACATTATTTTGGATATTTTTTTTCTGTTCCGCAAGAGATGTCGTGAGAATCTGTTGATGATTGAAATGTTTCAACTTTGCAGCTAGAAGATTACTGCCACTTTTCAGACTATTCAAATGTTCAATCACAAATTCAGGTGCTGAGCATGGTAACCGCTTATATTCAAAAATTGTTCCTCGCATATATGCAAAATATCCTTCCTGATGTGCAGTTGAAGCGTGATTGTTCGTACCAGGGATTGCAGCAGCAGTCCATAATGGAAACTCCTTTGCAATTCTCTCTAATTCTTTGATAAAAGTTGGTAAGTAGAAAGCGTTCACTGACATTGCTGACATATTGCTTTGAGAACTTTCCACTGATGCTATCAGTTTTTTAATCCATTGATGGGTGAGCGTACCACATTCACCTTCTTCAATTCTGGGAATGTCTCCTTTCATTTCTTGATAAGATGCCATAGAAACTTCAAGTTCTTCAATAGCTGCTTTACGAATACCGATTAAATGTTCTAGCTCTTTTCGAGCAGCTAAAGCTGTCATAGCACCAATAGATGTTGGAACTAAATTATCATCGTAGGGTTGTAGTGCAACGATGCAGATAAGAAGAAAAATTCGTCGAAAGTCTTTTATGTTTTGTGTATCGATAATCAGAGCAACACAACGGAGAAAAAAACTTTTTATGTACGGATGGTGATTGCCCTTCAAGCACTTCCATCTGGATACGAAAGCCATGACGTGGGCAACGTCTATTCGAATAAGAGTTTTCGCGGGTCGAGGATTCTTTTTTCGTTGAGTTGTAGCCCATAAAAAACACGTATCAATGTACTCCTTCAAACTCATATTATTGAATGTCAAGCAAATGGACATTGGTATTGCACGTTCATAATCAGAAATGGCTGAACCCGGAGTCGGAGCTCCAAGTCGCACCCAGAATTTGAGCCAGTTTTCAATGAACTCTTGGGTTTGAATTGTTGTAACCATTTGATAGACACATATCGTTTTCCCTCCAAACTTGATAGTTACAGTGTATAAAAATATATGACCGGTCATCTTTCCTGGACAGATTTGAAACCTTTTTATCACTCGACCAGTGGCATCGATGGAAATTTCGGAATTCTCCTTCAATACTCGAACGTATTCTTTAAAAACATGCATTTGTTCTTGGGTGCAATACCAGACGTAAAATCTAACACTTCCCACATCATGTATATTGTTAACATAACGAGGCTCACTAGCCATAGTTTGAAGACATTTAATCACATCTAACTTTTCAGTAGGCTTCATCCCTGCTTTTTCTTTGTTCGTCTCCATTTTAACTCGTCTGTAAATATGATTTTCTTGAACAAAATATGGAACATCTTCTCCAAATTCCATGTGACCTCTCAACAATTCCTCGCGGTAATTGGCAGCACTCTGTTTCTGCAGAATAACTCCAACTTTTTTTCTCTCTGCACCATTAATAGGTCGCTTTACTTCCTTGTGGTACTCCCCACGAGTGTCACGAGTTTGAATCGTTAGTCTTAATCCCTTATCACCAGGTTTTTCATTTGCCGTGCCAATTATAATGTTTTTACAATGTTCCCTATCTTTGCAATATCCCACAAATTTCAGAAAGTAGTTGTTTTTTCGAGGATTGAAATTGGGATAGACTCGAGACCATTTTGCTAAAAATGCGCAATTAAAATTGTACCTCTTCCAGAACGACTTAGATATAACTGCTGCCCACGTTTTTTTCTTTAATCTGTTTCTTTGTCCATTTGCGTAATTTTCTGGTTTGATCAATGACCACTCTTCATTTGTTATTAACAAATCAAATGTATCTAGTTCTTGTTCGTTATGGAAATTTTCAGGAATGTAATCATCATCTGCATCTGAATCAAAGTAACTTTCTTCACCTTCACCAGATTCCACGACATCCTCAATTAAGGGAAGCTTTGATATTGGAGATGGTACAATACCTTGATTTCGTCTAGCTTGTGTGAGATCTCCTCGTTTATCAGTTCTAACATGTGTATACACGGAGCGAGGTATCCACCTCCCATCGAGATCTCACTCTCACTCTCACTCTCACTCTCACTCTCACTCTCACTCTCACTCTCACTCTCACTCTCACTCTCACTCTCACTCTCACTCTCACTCTCACTCTCACTCTCACTCTCACTCTCACTCTCACTCTCACTCTCACTCTCACTCTCACTCTCACTCTCACTCTCACTCTCACTCTCACTCTCACTCTCACTCTCACTCTCACTCTCACTCTCACTCTCACTCTCACTCTCACTCTCACTCTCACTCTCACTCTCACTCTCACTCTCACTCTCACTCTCACTCTCACTCTCACTCTCACTCTCACTCTCACTCTCACTCTCACTCTCACTCTCACTCTCACTCTCACTCTCACTCTCACTCTCACTCTCACTCTCACTCTCACTCTCACTCTCACTCTCACTCTCACTCTCACTCTCACTCTCACTCTCACTCTCACTCTCACTCTCACTCTCACTCTCACTCTCACTCTCACTCTCACTCTCACTCTCACTCTCACTCTCACTCTCACTCTCACTCTCACTCTCACTCTCACTCTCACTCTCACTCTCACTCTCACTCTCACTCTCACTCTCACTCTCACTCTCACTCTCACTCTCACTCTCACTCTCACTCTCACTCTCACTCTCACTCTCACTCTCACTCTCACTCTCACTCTCACTCTCACTCTCACTCTCACTCTCACTCTCACTCTCACTCTCACTCTCACTCTCACTCTCACTCTCACTCTCACTCTCACTCTCACTCTCACTCTCACTCTCACTCTCACTCTCACTCTCACTCTCACTCTCACTCTCACTCTCACTCTCACTCTCACTCTCACTCTCACTCTCACTCTCACTCTCACTCTCACTCTCACTCTCACTCTCACTCTCACTCTCACTCTCACTCTCACTCTCACTCTCACTCTCACTCTCACTCTCACTCTCACTCTCACTCTCACTCTCACTCTCACTCTCACTCTCACTCTCACTCTCACTCTCACTCTCACTCTCACTCTCACTCTCACTCTCACTCTCACTCTCACTCTCACTCTCACTCTCACTCTCACTCTCACTCTCACTCTCACTCTCACTCTCACTCTCACTCTCACTCTCACTCTCACTCTCACTCTCACTCTCACTCTCACTCTCACTCTCACTCTCACTCTCACTCTCACTCTCACTCTCACTCTCACTCTCACTCTCACTCTCACTCTCACTCTCACTCTCACTCTCACTCTCACTCTCACTCTCACTCTCACTCTCACTCTCACTAAATTTGAGATTCGAATAATTTTGGTGAATAAATAGGTGTGCAGAATTTAAAATATATGAGAGCAACTTAATTAAATATGCAAATCTTACCTTTAAGGTTGCCTTTACTTTAGTCACGTCACACACAAATGATACAAAAATATTTTGTATTTAATTCAAGTTTTATGCTAACTCTAACAATCACAAGACACAATTCTGGAACTGTGCAAGTTGCAGTCTGCAAGAGATGCAACAGAACAAATGCGCAAGCGCAGTTGAATTCAGGAGTGATTTCGAACGCACTGCAGAACTGATTCTGAACTTAGTCCGAACAAGCCGATTAATAAGATAAAAAATGTTTTCCAAATAGCGGGACATGCATAAACTGAATTTCCAAATCATTTCCGACCTTTTCAAAATGTTTTTTTTTTTTTAATTCGAGAAAAATCTGCCTAGTATACGTTTAATCTTTATTAATTTTTCCAAATCGTTAAAACCATTTTCCAAATATCTCCAAATGATTTCCAAACGATTGGGCTTTTTTTTTTTGTTTCTTTTCATTTTTGTCTGCCAAGTATACGATGCCACAATCCCCAGGGTTTTTTCTTCCCTCCAATGCTTTGAAATAATGAGGTTAGGGTGAAAGGAATTAAGAGAAGTTAGCGGCAGAACGGGCACGCTATTTGCCTCTTCTTCTTTAAAATTTGTGGTCATAAGTGCGCAAAGGCGACACTACCAAGTGTGATATCTACGGACGGGGCACCTCATATAATTCCGATTGAACATCACAGGTAAGTTCGTTTAATCGGTTAATCAATAGGTCTGTTTCAGCAGAAATCACAAACCAGTCCAGTCAGAGCGAATTTAATTGGTTGGAAATTTACTCTGACTGGTTTATGATTTCTGCAGAAACAGACCTATTGACATCACATTTACAGTTCACTATCAGGTTTGTTCCAACCCCATGTTTTAGAACGGTTCTAGAACCATTCTGGAATCATTAGGACTAGTTTTATCCGCATGCGTCAGCTCGGCACTGTTTTGGAACGATTCTAGATTGGAGGTTGGTTGGAACGGATTCGGGACGGTTTTTGATCTGTCTTGCCCATTTGGTTTTGCTTGGTCAAAATAACCTCACTTTTTGTTTGATGTAAAATGTAAACAAATAAATGAAATCCATTATTTAGTTTTTTTGTGTAAGCCACAAGAATCAAAATAATTACAAATTATTAAGTTAAAAACTGGAGAAAGTTGTAAGACTGCATCAGTAAATAATGGACACAAACGAAAATATATTTGGTAAGTTTCACATAGTTTACCTTTCCTGTTTTTTTTGAAAAGTGTGAATTGTGAAATGTTTAAACCCTAGCTAAGTTAACTGGGTGTCATGTCTTTCCCAAAGCTTAATGTAGGTATTTTTTTAGACTGGCAAGAATATATTATATTGAATACGGACAATGTAAGCTTCCCAAGCACTTCAGCAGCTTGTGATTTATTACCTAGCACTTCAGGTACAGCCTCGGGTACAGCAGCTACTAGAAAATTAGACCACAAATGGACACAAAACGAAACAAAAATCCTAATAGACCTGTATGGCAAATTAAAAAACAAAGTGGGCACATTCCAAATTAAAAATATTAAGATGTTGTGGGAGAAAATTGCTAATGAATTAGCAAAATTACATATAATTGTAACACCAAATAACTGCCTTAATAGGTGGAAGGTATTGGAGAGAAATTTCAAAAAATTTGTGGACAATCAAAATAAAACTGGTAAGCATTATGGCTTTTTGTATTGACTATATTTTCTTTATAGAAGTTCAAATATGCCATCTTGTTAGTAAAATATCACAAGATTTTGCAATTTGCAATAATATACTTGAGTATGTATTCACTTTTCATACAAATATATAATCATTTTTTAGGCAGAGGACGTAAGTACTTTGAGTATGAGGCTGAGATGAGCGAGATTTTTGGCAAAAAAAAAATATAAATCCAGAAGTACTTCTAAGTACAGAAACAAAAGATCTTTTACTAGAAGATGTCCAAGAAAACATTGAGGAAAATGTTGCCAAAGATATTTGTGAAGAGGATTTAGAAAATCAAAGACCGACAAAAAAATGTAAATCCTCAGTTAAAGTCGAAGTGGTTAAAAAAAAAATTACAACCATGGAAAAAATTCGGTTGGATCGAAAAGAATATTATAACGCCAAATTAAATATTGAAGAACAAAAGTTGGTAGAAATTAAAAGAAGAAATGATTTAATTGAACAGAGAAATTTATTATTCAAAGAAAAAAACCAGATTTTAAGGGAAAAAAAGGCATGCAATCATTGTAATGTTTAATATTTATATTTATATATAATTTATTAATATTATTTATTTATTATATAAATCTATCAACTATAATTTTTTGGAGAATATATATTTTTTTGTTTAGTTTTTTGGAGAATGTATTTTTTTTGTTTAGTTTTTTTTTGGAGGATGTATATTTTTTTGTTATTAAATTTAAATCACAATTACCTACCCCTTTGTTTTCAAATTATTAAATACACTTCTTTGAGACCTTCTACTAAACCTGTTAGTGTTTAGTGGAAGGGCTGTATTTGAATCCATTTAAGTAAGATTGTTCTCTTGGGATTTTTCCTTTTTCAATTATTTCATTTTCTTTGTATTTCATATTTTACCTGGTATATCAAAGTCTAAAATATATGAAATAATAAGTTTTATTTGTGAATTTTTATTCTCAAAATACAAAATATTCAACTTAGATAATAATCTTAATTGGGACTATTTATAGTGGTAGATTATTGGCTATCCTATCCCGCACTGCACGAGCTTCTCCATCTTCAACTTCATCGTCAGGATCATAATCTTCATTTTGAAGTACCTGTTGATTTTGATTAAGTTGGGGTTGGAATTCCTCATTGTTAATTTCAAAATTGTCCTCAAGGGCTATGTTATGAAGAACACATGCTGCTCTAATTAAATGAACAATTGTTCTAATATTCCTTATTTTGATATGGTTGTTCAATTTGTAAAGCAAATGCCCTTGACTGGCGCCTCCATCAAATATTATTTTTCTGAATCTTCTTACAAAACTTCGGCGATGCAAGAAGGGGACGCACCCGACCGTAACGCCTAGACCCTTTTTTCTTATCTCAAGATACAAAATAAATATAATGCGCAGTTATTGCATAGATTTGGCTGTGTTCGGACTGCAGTTTGCGTCCAAATTTCTCATTTTCGCCTAATAAAGGCATAAATAGTTTTTTTCCTAATTTAAGTAGTGCCAAAGTTTACGTAGTACTACATATAGAACTTTCTACAACAGTTGAGAGTGGTGTAGCAGTTTCTACAAACTCTCCTCTTTTCGTCGTCCCCTCACACGTAGTGAGTAAAAGATATTTAATAATATTCCTTTTGATATCGCCTATACCGTCATACACATTGTGTTTTAAGTATAGTGTAATAGTGTGTAGTGCAAATTTAGTGTATTTACTTCAGTATTCTCAGTTGCGCTGAGATTAATATTAAAAATCGTTTAGGAAAATAAAGATTGTGTTTGAACTTAAAACAAACGATTTTCACGTGTTTTTATTTTTTTTTCTAATACAGTAATACAGTCGTGTGTAAAACATTTTGGTCCTTCGAGCCGGATTTTCTAGGTGTCCTAGAAGACTAGCCTACTGTGAAGTTTCTACTGTGAAGAAATAACATTGGTGAACTCCTGTGAATTGGTGAGACAATTTTATTTTCCTTTTTTGCTTTACTAGCTCCGATTCGAGCTATAGACACACTGTTTATGAACACCCCTTTGTTTTTTATTGTTGTTTGAATGTTTTTTACGTACATATTTTCTTGGCCACTATTATTTAGGTAATAGTCAGGTAGGCCCATTTATTTTTTGAGTGGTTATGCGCATATAGGCGTGTGAATTTGTATATTTTTTCCAAGTTGTTTCTAGTATTTAGATACCTGTAGGTGTATTTGAAAATAATTTTCAACGGAATTTGCTTTCTTTAATTAGGTAATTTTCTTTAAAAAATTGATTTTTTCCGAATTTGCTTTCTTTATTTAATTAGTTAATTTTCTTTTCTTTAATAGATTTTTTCTGTTAATATAGATTAAAGTAGGTACATATTAGTATACTGTAATAAATTAAAGATGGATCTTGAAAATTTAAAGAAATCCAGAGCCGCCACAAAGGGTTCTATTACTAGAATTGAGACCTGGTTTTTGAATTTTGAGAAAGTTTGTGGCGACTCAGTTGATTTTGAAATAAGGTTAGACAGAACTCATTCACTTTTTACAGAGTATGAGAGAATACAGAATGAAATCGATATATTGTCTAGCATAGACAACCCTGATACTGAGGATAGAAGTTTAACAGAAGATAAATACTTTTTTCTTGTAAGTGGTCTTACGAAAAAAATCAAAACCCTTACTGAACCACAAAATCCAACACATTTGAGTAGTGCTGGCTCTCACCATAGTTCTCAAGTTTCAAATAATGCGTATCCAAATACCGCAGTAAAATTGCCTGACATAAAAATACAAGTATTTAGTGGTGAGGTAAAAGATTTTGAATCATTCTTCCAATTGTTTGAGGCCCTAATTGTAAACAATGAACAACTCTCAGATATCCAAAAACTTATTTATTTGAAAAGCTATTTAAAAGGTGAACCCTTGCAGCTTATAGACTCATTGAAAATTGTTAATGAAAATTTTGAAGTAGCTTTAGGTATCCTTAAGTCTAGGTACGAAAATAAAATTGTGATTGTAAATGCTTATTTAAGTGCTATGTTAGACATTCCTGGCATATCAAAAGGAAAATCGAGCTTTCTTCGTGAGTTAGCTACAACAGTACAAAAAAATATGCAGTCATTAAAAAATTTAGGACTTTCTGATAAGGAGCTGTGGAATGTTCTAATGATTTATCTCATCCAGAAAAAAATAGATTTCAATACAAAAAAAGCGTTTGAGTCAGAAAGAAATCATGCGGAGATTCCTTCTTTAGAATCCTTTCTAAAATTTATTGAAAAGCGATGCTTGGTATTGGAAAGCATTGAATATTCGAGTCCTAAAATGCAACGAAAAAATATTTCTGTGAATCATTCCACAAATTCGAGTGATAGTAATTCAAATAATAATTTTGGAAAAAGTTCACAAGTGCAAAACTGTCTTTTTTGTAAAAAACCTGGCCATAGAATTTACACTTGTTTCACTTTCAAAAATTCTTCTTATCAAGACAAAACAAAATTTGTTAAAACAAACAAATTATGCAATAACTGCCTAGGGAGGCATAATATAGAAAACTGTTCTTCTTCACAAAGGTGCTCAATTTGTTCTAGGTCTCATAATACCTTATTACATTATAATAAAAATCCTTATGAGAATTCATCAGGTAGATATAACACTTCTCATTCGGGAAATATTTCTCAGAATCAAAGCTTGGCGCAATCGCGTTTTCAGCCTGAAAACACATTGGGTAATTATTCTCAAAATAATGATATTCCTCAAGATTCTAGTCGACAAAATACAAGAGAAAATACTACTGTCAATACAAGTAGTCATTCAGCTTTAGCTATAAAAAATTCTCATGTACTTTTAGCCACGGCTAAAGTAAATTTGATTTCAAAATATGGTGAAGTAGTGCAAGCAAAGGCTTTGCTTGATACCGGTACGCAAACATCTCTTATAACTCAAAAGTTAGTAAATAAACTAAATTCTAAAACTTATAAAGTAGCCCTAAGCATTTCTGGTATTAGTGAAAATACTACTAGTTCGAGTGAAATGACCGATATCGAAATGTTTTCAATTTTTAATAGGTATAAAAAATTCAAAATATCATGCGCATTGCTGCCAAATCTTACCTGCAAGCTCCCACAGTGTAAAATTCTTGTAAATAACCTAACTATTCCTCAGAACGTTGTCTTAGCTGATAACGAGTTTTTTATGCCCTCAGACATTGACCTTATTCTCGGCCTAGATTGTTACTACGACATTATTTTGTCGAACATCATAAAGTTAGGTCATAATCTTCCAGTCTTGCAGGATTCCCACCTTGGGTGGATAATCTCAGGAGTAATTCCTAAAAAATTTACCACTTCTCTTTTCTCTAGTTTAAAAAATAACGATAATTTGGTAAATAACATTCCCCATCTCTCCTTTATCTCGACTTCCAAAGTTGAAACATTTCTTAAAAAATTTTGGGAAATGGAAGAAGTTGGAAACGGCTCCAAACAAGCTATTCTTTCCCAGGAAGAAAAACTGGCAGAAGATATTTTCACATCTAGCACAAAAATTCTAGACAACGGCCGGTACCAAGTAGACCTTCCTTTAAAAACACCCTCAGAATTCTCTAAACTTGGCGACTCATTTTTCATGGCCAAGAAACGTTTTTTTTCTCTTGAAAATAAATTTAAGAAAGACGAGAATCTTTTTAAAGACTACGGGAATTTTATAGATGAATACATTAATCTTGGACATGCCCATTATGTATATTTAACTCAAAAAACTCCACTTTCTCAACATAAATACTTCATACCGCATTTGTGCGTTCTTCGAGAAAACAGCGCAACCACAAAGCTGCGCGTCGTTTTTGACGCTAGCGCAAAGAGTTCTTCTGGATGCTCTCTCAATGATCTATGTTTGAAGGGCTATCAGGTCCAGCCAGACCTGTACGATATATTGTGTAGGTTCCGTAGCTTTCCTTTTGTATTCACAACCGATATAAAAAAAAATGTATCGGCAGATATTGGTCAATCCTAGTCAGGGTTTTCTTCATAACATCCTATGGCGTGAGAACTCTGGTAATGACCTTCAGTGTATACAGTTAGACACTGTTACCTACGGTACAAATTGTGCCCCCTTTTTAGCGACTCGTGTGCTAAAAGATATTGCTTCTCGAAACTTAGAAAGCTTCCCTATGGCATCTGAATCAATCTTAAATCAGTTCTACATGGACGATGGCCTTTGTGGTGCTTCAGACTCTGAGTCCCTTCGTAAACTGTACGAACAACTCAATACTTTGTTGCAAATACATGGGTTTGAGCTTCACAAGTTTTTATCAAATTCAGAGTCATTTCTTCAATCTCTCTCTACAAATGTTCCCACTCAGACTTCTACAGAGTTCGAAATCAACTTTGAAAATGTTTCGAATAAAGTGTTAGGAATAAATTGGAATGGTACTTCGGATTGTTTGTGTATTTCGGTGCCCCAAAACACTTTTCCAGTTCTCATTACCAAAAGGAACATACTTTCTACCATAGCACAATGCTACGACCCTCTGGGATTTATCAATCCCGTAATAGTCAAAGGAAAAATTTTAATCCAGAAATTGTGGATATTGAAAGTAGATTGGGATACTGAAATAACAGATGTTTCAATTCTACAAGATTGGAAATCATTCATAACTAATCTTCCCCTTTTGTCTCAACAAAAAATTCCGAGATGCTATTTTCTTAATAAACCTATCCATCGCATAGAGCTACACGGTTTCGCCGATGCTAGCTTAGCAGCATTTGGGTGCTGCGTCTACTTTCGCACCATTTATCAAGATGGCAGTATTTCTTGCTTGTTAATTTCTTCTAAGTCCAGAGTTTGTCCTGTGAAAGCAATTACGATTCCTCGGCTTGAGCTTTGTGCCATGCTCCTCCTATCCAAGCTAGTAAAAAAGCTAGTCAATATTTTTGAAAATAAAATAGCTTTATTTTCTGTCAACTTGTGGACCGACTCCCAAGTTGCATTGGCATGGTGCAAGAGTCATGCTAGCCGGTGGTCTGTGTTCGTATCTAATCGCGTTTCACAGATTCAAGAGTTAACTTTCGATTATAAATGGCGCCACGTAAAATCCTCGGATAATGTCGCAGACTTGTTATCTAGAGGCATATTTGCACAGGAAATTTTAAATAATCAGTTCTGGTGGCATGGGCCCGAGTTTCTGAGGAACTCTTCAAACCTTTTCGATTATGACGAAGAGGTTTTAGACCCTTCCTCGGAAATGCCCGAAGAGAGGAAATGCCACGTTTCTACGAATACAAACCAAGACGATTTTTGTGAAAGTATTTTTTCCAGATTTTCCAACTTTTCCCGTCTACAACGTACAGTTGCATTCGTCCTTCGCTTCAAAAGCATCCTTAAAATTAAAAGAGAAGATAGAGAATTCGGTGCTCCAACTACCCAAGAACTAGATAAAGCTTCAACATTTATACTTCAAAAAATTCAAAATGAATCCTTTTCCAAAGAAATCTCAGAACTTACTTCCAATAAACTCATTTCTAACAAACAGCTTCTTCCCCTTAAATCTTTCCTTGATGACTCTGGTTTGCTACGAGTAGGTGGTCGATTGGAAAACGCTTCTGTTTCCTTTGATCAGAAGCAACCCATTATTCTTCCTTCAAAAAATCACACAACTTCCCTCATTTTAATGCTTGAGCACAGACGACTGGGGCACGCAGGTGCTCAGAACACCTTAGCTAATATTCGTTTAAGGTTTTGGCCATTGAATGGCCTAAGAGATGTTAAAAAAGTGATTCGAAACTGCGCCATTTGTTTCAGATTCAGTAGCGAGGTCTCTCAGCAGATTATGGCTAACCTCCCTGAAGATCGAGTTAACGTCTCTAGACCCTTCCACAAAGTAGCCGTGGATTTTGGAGGTCCATTCCTCATTAAGTCCTCACGACTTAGGAAAGCTCCAATGATTAAGTCCTATATCGCTATCTTCGTGTGTATGGCTACAAAAGCTGTACACATAGAGGTAGTTAGTAATCTCTCAACAGACAATTTCATACTTGCTTTGAAAAGATTTGTTTCCCGAAGAGGAAACCCCAGCATAATTTATAGTGATAATGCCACCAACTTCACCGGAGCAAAAAATGAATTAAGGGACCTCTATGATTTCTTCAACAGCGACACTTCTTCTGAGTCGATCCGAGAATTTCTTTCACAGAATGAAACTTCCTGGAAGTTCATTCCCCCCAGATCCCCACATTGGGGAGGACTTTGGGAGTCGGCCATTAAGAGCGCTAAATACCATATGCGCAGGATGATTGGCAATGGTAGTTTCACCTTCGAAGAGTTTTCGACAATCCTCTGTCAGATAGAGGCTATCCTTAATTCCAGGCCTTTGAGTCCGTTATCTAATGATCCATCGGACCTCAACTGCCTCACGCCCGGTCATTTTCTTGTGGGATCTGCATTGACCAGTTACCCGGAAAAAAATGTGACCCAAATTATTGAGAACCGACTTTCAGTCTATCAGAGGATTTCACGGATTCAGCAGTATTTTTGGAAACGTTGGTCTGTGGAGTACCTCAACCGACTTCAAAATAGACCCAAATGGTTCCGCGAAAAGGCAAATTTGAAGGTCAATGATCTTGTGTTAGTAAGAGAAGATGATGTTCCACCTCTCAAGTGGCCCCTTGCTAGAATATTGGAGGCTATTCAAGGGCGAGATGGAAAAGTTCGCGTCGTAAAAATACGCACATCTCATGGTGATTATACTAGACCAATTACCAAGGTTAGCCTCTTGCCAAATCAAGTATCCGACTCTGTCTAGTTCGCTATATATCGTATATTAAGTATATTTTTAGTTATGTTCTGTTTTGTAATTTTGTATTTTGTTTTCTTTTTCTATTAGTAGATATCTTTCTTGATTTTTTCTTTGTTGAAGCTTGTTCAGCTTCAACGTGGGGGAGAATGTTCAATTTGTAAAGCAAATGCCCTTGACTGGCGCATCCATCAAATATTATTTTTCTGAATCTTCTTACAAAACTTCGGCGATGCAAGAAGGGGACGCACCCGACCGTAACGCCTAGACCCTTTTTTCTTATCTCAAGATACAAAATAAATATAATGCGCAGTTATTGCATAGATTTGGCTGTGTTCGGACTGCAGTTTGCGTCCAAATTTCTCATTTTCGCCTAATAAAGGCATAAATAGTTTTTTTCCTAATTTAAGTAGTGCCAAAGTTTACGTAGTACTACATATAGAACTTTCTACAACAGCTGAGAGTGGTGTAGCAGTTTCTACAAACTCTCCTCTTTTCGTCGTCCCCTCACACGTAGTGAGTAAAAGATATTTAATAATATTCCTTTTGATATCGCCTATACCGTCATACACATTGTGTTTTAAGTATAGTGTAATAGTGTGTAGTGCAAATTTAGTGTATTTACTTCAGTATTCTCAGTTGCGCTGAGATTAATATTAAAAATCGTTTAGGAAAATAAAGATTGTGTTTGAACTTAAAACAAACGATTTTCACGTGTTTTTATTTTTTTTTCTAATACAGTAATACAGTCGTGTGTAAAACAATGGTATAACTGTCAAAATTTTTGTTTTAGAATTCCAAAACAGTGCTCTATAACATATCTATTTTTTGCTAATTTCACATTGTAATTTTGCTGCCTTCTATTTAAATTTCCTCTATCTTTATATGGACTATGGAGTGAGCAAATTATTGTCCAATGGATAACCACTGTCCCCTAAAATAAAATACCTTCCACATTTCTCTTGCAGAGTATCTCTCAAGGGCGAATTTCTATAAACTCTGCTGTCATTGGCAGATCCTGGATAGCCAATAAAAACGTCCAATATTTTGCTTCTGTGGTCACACACGGCTTGCATCTAAAAGATTTAAAATGGATTGGTAAAAAACTTGAAATTCAGTACATTTATTTTCAAACCTGAATAGAGTAATAACCCTTTCTATTAATATAGGAGTCAGGGTCATTATTTGGTTTGTCAATTGTGGTCAATCTTAATATGACATCCGTCTATGGCTCCTATTACATTAGGAAATGCATTTGTCCTAAAATGTTCCTCAGCAACCCTTTTTTCGTTATCATTTGGCCACTTAATGATTTGAGGAGATAAATTGCTTAAGAAGAAAGTTGCTCTAGTTATAATTCTATTAATGTTACTAATTGTTACATTAAAACGATCAGCAACATCTCTAAAGCTTGCTGTTTGGTGCCCCATGTACCATAAGTATATCAAAACCTAAAACAGATACATATATAAATTTATAAAGCATAAAATGTTGGAAATCATCATTGAAAATAACTTTTGAATGTGGGTAATCTGAAAGAGCTCAGCTTAAAATATTTATTGCTAAAATTAATAATTAAAACTTACTTGATGAAATGCAGGAAGATTTCCATATTGTCCTGGTTGGTTTTTGAAGTAATCGCTACCTTCATACCTTTCACCAACACTATGAACTGTTGCTCTTGAGAGCCTGAAATGCTCGAAAAACACTTGGTCGCTGTATTGTGACACTGTTTCCTCTAAAATAAACAAAGATATTGAAAATGTGTAAAATGTTTTATTCACATATGAGTAAATATTTTAGGTTAAACTAATAACTTTTCCATCTCACCCAGATAATTTTCATTTGTGGTTCTTGGTTGATTCAAAATTAGTTCTTCCAAATCATCTTCACTCGACTCCCCTTCTGTGAAAATATCACTATCTTCGTCACTACTCATGATGTCCAATTTAGAATTTACAACACTGAAAATTAAACTCCAACCAAACAGAAAAACAAAATCAACAATTCAAAATTCAACAAAGGGTATATCAATCAGCTGATAAAAATTTACCAAATGCGCATGTCAGTTCCAACAGTTCTTGCTTGCTGGCGAGTATCGAAATTACGGTTCCGAAACCGTTCTATAACGATCAGAAAATTGGTTGGAACGTAAAGGGAATCGTTCCAGAACGATCCCCATCATGGTTGGAACGCTTTTTGGCATATGCGCATGAATAGAACGGTTCCTGAACGGTTCTCGGCGGGGTTGGAACAAACCTATCATTATTCACTATGGACCGACCCTTGGTGCCAATTTATTGACTCCAACGTTTATTTATTCCGGTCGGTTTAGAACATGTTTACAAGCATTGTGTCACCATATAAGACGTCAGTAACAAGTCGTAGCTGTTTGCACTAGAGGTCGTAATTTAGAATTTAAATATATGATGAAAAATAATATTTAATTTTGATTAACATAATAAATAGGCAAAGAGGAAGATGAAAACGAGATCTAAAAAAGAGTTGTTTTAGAATGGTAATTCATGTGGTAAAACCAAGTATGCAATAAAGCAAAAGCCCGTGGAATCATCATAACCTGTAGTGCAAACAGCCTACGTCAAGGCGAAGAAAGAGATGCTGCTACGTCACAACTGGTGATTTGGCGTGGTGGAGGGCTTCAGATTGTTCTACACATTACACAAGCCTTATGCTATCCTGTAGTAGTAGTAGTAGTAGTGTGTAGTGTGTATTACACTTGGTCGGTTTACCAGTAGCAGTAAGTTATAGGAGACGTCATTTTAACATTTAGTAAATAAACAATAATTATTAAAAAATTAAACAAAGTCCTTAATTATAGTTGTGAAAGGCAATATTGCACTTGCTTGAAGAGAAAATGTTACATGCCATTCGGCCCAGAAGGTCTTTTTGTACTTCGCTCGATTGCAATCCCCGAGCTCGCCACAAAAAGACACTTCTTGGCCCAATGACATAAATAACTAAGGAGTCATTCCGAAATACCGCATCAGCGCTGATGACGCTATTTTAACGTTCCGTAATTCGCTTTTGGCGCTACTGATGCTTGCTAGCTCCGCCTACTCTCCCCACCATCATCAGACATCAAACGCTGTCCGAGGTTCGAGCAGCATTTGATGCGGTAGCCATTTTTGTTTGTTGTTATTGTTGTTTGAGGTTATAAATTGGTTTGTTGTGGGGTAAATAATTTAAGAATTGAAAACGAAAATGTTCGAAATTGTAACAGATGCGGATGGCAACCCCATTCGAAATTCCATGGGACATTTTCTTATCGTCAAGAAAGGTAGGTACTGTATTTATTTTCATTTGATCGATTGAATATTGTTATAATATGTTAATAAATATAGTTACACTGTTTTATTCTCTCAATAATATTATATAGCTAGGTAGAGAATTTTGGTACTTAAAAGGGTAGGTCAAACTGTAGTAAAAACCTTTTTTTTTCTTTAGGTACTGACCAGCAGTTTTGGTTGCCTGAGGATCAAATTCAACTTGAGGAAAATAGGACTGATGAGAGACTGACTGAGAAAAAAGACAATATGTCAGGTAATATTTCCTTCTTCCTTAAAAGGATATTACCTTAGATATTAATAGTATATTGGGTACATATTTTTTGTGGAAAGAGAGCGAAATTACACGCGTATGAAATGGAAATGACACTTTTGCACGAATTATGTACACATATTCTTCCTACAACCTCGCACTCATATGACTCATATCATATTAGATAATTTAATGCTAAAGAATAAGCGGTTCAGAGCTTATTTAGAAGGTTCGTGATGCCACCCCATATACAATATAATGATTATAATTAGGTATAATATAATGTTCCTACTTTATTTTTAGCTGAGGATAACTTGGAAATTAGAGATAGGGCAGGTCCAAGTTCCTGCTCTCAATCATCAAAAGGTATAAAAAATTTAATAATTGATCTAAATAACCATAATATTTATAGTTTTTAATAGATGAACCTTTTATCTGGAGTGAGAGAGCGGTATTGTACAATACGAATGCCATGTAGAAGAGTTCAAAAAAAACTTGAGGCACGAAAGAATATGGAGTTCTATTGCTGCCCAACTGATAGAGAAAGGTCATTTGGTCAATGGCAGACAATGTTCTATAAAGTGGTCAGGTCTAAAAAGGACTTACAAAAATATTAAGGATCAAAAAGACAGATCAGGTGCTAGTGCTGTTTCTTGGCCATTTTATTCTGTAGGTTCTGAATTCTACGTGTTTATTACTCTGTCTTGCATGAAAATCCTATAATTTTTTAGGCAATGACTACATTGCTAGGGGACAAGGCCTACATGAAGCCGGTGGCCTTAGCGAGTTCCACAGGACAACCAAAAAATTTAACAGGAGATTGTTCCAAAGGTGTGTACAGATAAGTTTGAGTAAAAGATGTGTATAATAATTTACTTAGAAAAATACTTGATAATATTACAACATAGCAAATTAATAACATCTAGTATTTAAATAAATTTGAATCTTGCTTTGTTTAACAATATAGATAATTGGTTTGGAAACTAGCCATGCAAGTGTTCTATAGGCATGACATGTATGTATACTTTCTTTATTTACAACAGAACCACCTCAAAAGAAAATGAAACCTATGAAAAAGGACGCGGTTTTAGAAGAACTCACTGACAGAACTAACAAGCTGCAAGAATCAATAAATGAACAGAATATTAAAAGACATAGGGAGAAAGCAGAAAGAGAGGAAAGAAAGGCCAAGCAGCACGCAGAAAAAATGGAAATGCAAAGGGCCTTCTTAGACATCTTTAAAAAGATGGCAGAGAAATAATTTTTATTGCTCGTTACTTTTGTTAAGTGACTTTTGACTTTCTTTAACCTTTATATTAGAGTTCCTTTTTTTGTTCCTGGTAGTTATATTTATATTTCTTTACTTTGGTTAATACTAATTACAACTGTGAAATTGTTAATTTAGTTATTTGAGTGACTTTCGACTTTTATCAAGGTTGATATTAGAGTTTTTTTTTAGTTCCTGTTATATTGTTATGTCTTTACTTTTGTTACTTATTAAAATTATTAAATTAAATTGTCTTAAATTTTATAACTGGCCCTAGCAACATCATGCAGTCGTTGACATGATGAACAACATGTTAAGAACATTATTTACATGTTACAATATTGAAACCGAGAGATTATTTTATAATTATTTAAAATAAATAACAAAAAATTATAGGTTAATTTATATTTGAAATAACGGAAAAAGAAACCGTAGGAATCAAAGCAAATTGAAATTTGGAACTTAATTAATTTAATATAAATCCTTAAAACTAAAATACAATAAATAGAAAAATACACAAGTGAAAGTGGAAGGTTATTGGATCCTTCTTATTTCTAAGTTATTCATAATCTCAATTCTTTTATGAGCAGCCTCATCTGCTGCAACTCTAACATTTTCTGGTTCATCCGGAGCTGGATTTTCCTCAATTTGTATGTCTAAAATGTCATTCTGTGACATGCAAATATTATGGAGCACACAACACGCCATAATAAATTCAGGAATTTTTTTAATGTCCCATAATGGCAGACAATCCAGAAGAATCCGAAATCTACCTTTAAACAGTCCAATTGTCCTCTCTATTGTCATTCGAGTCGCCGAATGGCAATAATTATAATTTCTTTGTCGCATTGTTAGGTGTCCATTGTCCCTAAATGGAATAAGTAGATGTCTATGAAGAGGGTATGCTGAGTCTCCTAACAAATGAGTATCATTGCTGAAATACTCCTCACCATTATTTAAATAACCACTTATTTCTGAATTTCTAAAAACCCGCGCATCGTGGACAGAGCCTGGGTATCCAGCAAAACAATGCAAAAATTTATTTTTTGCATTGCACACAACTTGTAGTTGTATAGAATGAAATCCTTTTCGATTAATATAACTCTCAGCATCTGCAGTGGGAGCTCTTATTTTAATATGTGTGCCATCAATGGCCCCAATTACCCCTGGAAACCCACGCATATTTTTGAAAGCATTTACATTTTCTTCAATTTCAGCTCCTGATGGCCATTTAATGACATGTGGTGCCAGAGCATGTAATGCGTTTGACACTCTTCTCACTGCCCTAAAAGTAGTTGCTTGACCAATCCCAAACTTTATTTTAACTGATCTAAAAAAATATGTATTTTAATAAAATAATGAAAATATATGTACTATCGTCAGCGTCACCGAAAATAAGTACGAGTCAAAATTATTTTTTGTCCACTTGACAATCATCCAATCTAAAACGACAGCATCATAGTAAAAAAAAATTACTATTCACTCGATTATTCACTTATTTTTGGTGACTATAGTGTTTTCCAGATTTTTAAAAACGTCTTACAAGATATTATTTTATACTAAGGTACTAACCTGTAAGAATCAGGAGTAGCCATAAACCATATTGCTACTAAAAGTTGCTTCTTCTCATCTATGCTGTTTCTTCCGGAATTACCCATTCTTCTTAACGCAGGGCCAATATGCCCAAGGATAATATCCACCGTCTCTGGATACATTCTAAAAAGAAACATAAGTTTTATTAACAAAAATTTTAGCCATTATCAAAAATATGTTTTAGAAGTAGAGTGCAAGGCTTATAAGTACCTACCTAAATTGCTGTTTAAAGACTTCTCTGGAGTAATTTGGAATTATTTTTTCCACATAGCCAACTATTGTTTGACCCGGGATTCTCTCATCAATATTGGTGGCAACAGTAATAGTATTTATATTATGATTAATTTGTATTTGAACACAAGTTTGGAGATCTTCCTCTTCAGAACTGGAGCTACTTGTACTATCAGACTCATCATTAAAAACCATCATCGTTGCAGAGGCAGAGGCACACATTTCCTTCTGCCCTTTTGTTGTCATATTCGACATTAGTGCTTTCCTGTCTGAATTTCCCGATTTTTAACAGAAAATAATGGGGTATCTACTACTTACTAGTTTAATTGAGAAAATTAGCCACAAAAAGTCAGAACTCGGAACAAAACAAAAATCAAAAACAGAAAGCACAAATATATCCTATCAAAAACAAAATAATAAATTGATTGACATTGACACTAGTGACAGCACATCCCAGCTTTCCGTTCCGAAACCCAGTGGCGCCAATGCTGCTAATGCACCATTTTCTATTACGGAACGCTTTGACAATTGTTGCTGCTGCGATGCGCTGATGCGAATTCCGGAATAGCCCCTAATTGAGTATGTTCAGCCGTGCACAGTTCTGTGGTGCACAACAGTTGAGTGATTAGCCAACAGGTTCGGCTGAACGAGTTGCTGCGATACCGCTTTCCGCCAACTATTGAGCAACTCTTGCAGCGAAAATAATTGACGTTTTCAATTAAAAGAGATGGACAATAAAGTATGAAAACAATCATTTTCCCGCCAACATTTGCTTGCTTGTCAATGCCAGTGTGTATTGGGTGTTTTGAAAGAAATTGAAGCTGTGGAAATTGTGGGAAAAGTTTGCAGAACTTCGCTATGGAGAAAGCGGTGAATTATTTTGGAAGCAAACAGCTCCTGCAAACTAAACTTGAACGTGGATTACTTTGTATACTTGATGGGCCGTTTCTCTTTTTTTTTTTTGCGAGTATTCTTTCTGATTTTATGTATCCAAAATTTGACAAATGTAGGATTGGATGGAAACCCATGGAAAGACACGTTCGCCGGTAAATAGGAATTATTTTTACAAAAAGGCACACTACACAATCACCATTGTTAGGAAAAAACTTTGAAAAAACCGAGGAAATAATAGTTTCCAGTTTCCACATGTACAGAAGTCTTGTCAACAAACCACTGTCAGCGGCTGTCAACCGTTGTTTTCATACTCTTTTGGCGTCTGACATTTTGACGCCAGAGAGAGAAGCTTTTAAATTGAAAAGGTCAATTGGCGCTGACTTGCTCAACGGTATCATTTTGCAGGTTATGTTTTTTTGTTGACACACACAAATAAATCACAACTAAACAAGTTACGATTATTTTTTGTAAATTAATCCTTTTCAACTTGTGTTTTGTGTTTTAAAAAGAGCTCATCGATAATAAAAATGAGTATAGATAATACGAGCTACTCGAAAAATAATTATTTTCTTGTCACCACAGAGGAAAATGAACCAATTAAGGCCTGTTTATAGTTCAAAGCTTCTTCCTTTTCCGTAGATTTATCGTTAACCGTTAAGCCTAGTTCTCACGGTGCGGAATCCCGCATTGCGGGTGCGGAATTTTTGAAATAATTCCGTTGGCGGGAAAACGTCAACTTTTCTGCGGATCCGCAATAAAGTTGAACTATTTTCAACTTTCTTGCGATTTTTTTTTTCTGTCTCTGTCTAAACATTTCCCATCTTTGTTTGATTTATACATAAACTAACCTCACTCACACGACAACAAAAATAAATTATTGACCTACTTGTGTGCTTGTTTTCGTTTTCACTTTTTCTCTCCAATATAATGCTGAAAAATGTTGTTACTTACCTTACCCAACCCAATACCACCCTTGAAGGGTCCTATCAGGTAAAAAAAAAGTACATACCTGCTACCTGAATAGACCCTTTTTGGTTAATTGCTCACTCCAAGTTAACAAAGTTTCGTTTTTAGAATTTAGTTTAGTATAGACTATTGTCTGCCACAGTCGATTTTTGAGTGATTTTTGCGAGGGATTTTGAGTTTAAGTTGTAGTGTGTGTGTATTTTTGTGTGGAAATGAATCCAATTGAGGTAAGTAACCGATGAAGTAGATCAAAAAACAGAGAAATATAATTAATTTTTTTAAAAGGTGATCGCAGTATGTGACAGGTGCGGCGTCGAGGATTGTGTCCATATGGGGGGCTATAGAGATAACTGGGAAACCGAAGCTGCCGAAGCTGTCTCTATGGAACCAGCAGAGGCATATTTAGTGCAGTAAGTAGATAATTTAGAATAGACTCAGGGTTCCTAGCCAGGCTGCTTTCAATGATGGCTCTCTAATTTTTGAATGAGGCTTAGCAAAAATAAATATTTATTGGATATCACAGAATGTTCTAGAAGGGCTGGGCGATCAGTGAAGTGGGCCTTGCCCTTGTTTTCCACCCTCCCTGTCTAGGGTCCTGATACCTACTAATATCTGTTTGAATCACTAAATTTTTTGATGTAGTTGGACAGAAGCACATATTTTTAAAATTGAGCATTTCAAAGATATTTTGTGATACAACAAAAAGTTTACAAACTTAATGCTTGGTAATGTTAAGCATAAGGTAACCTCTCACAAATTATTATTTTTCTATATTATAGAACTGATGGGGAGGAGGTACAAGACGTACAGAGTTTCGAAGAGCTCCTCATTGCCAATTTGGAAGCAAGACCCGTTCTATGGAACTCCAAGCTAAAAATATCTCAGAGAGGCAAAGCCGAGAAGGATAGGCTCTGGCTAGAGATAGCGGATTTCTTTGGAAGTAAGTATTGAGGACTTTTGTTCAGAGGTCTTACTGAATGAAATTGGTAAATAAGATAGTATGACTAATACAAATTTTCCAGATCAGTATGCAGTTCCATACTTGCAAAAGAAATGGAGGAATCTCAGAGACCAATTTGTGAAAACAAAAGGAGAGCTGGAGGCTTATGTTCCGAGCGGTTCGGGTGCTTTGCCCAAAAAAAAAAACATGGAAACATTTTGAGTCTCTCAAATTTTTGCTGGACTCAATGACTCCAAGAGCGTGAGTTGAATTTTTATATTGGCTGGGTTTGGTAATTGCCTCTGTGAGCAAAAAGCACTTATCTATAGATCTGTTTCTGCAGAAATAACAAACCAGTCAGAGGGAATTTCATTGGTTGAAAACAGTCAGAAAACTAGTTTCAACCAATGAAATTCACTCTGACTGTTTGTAATTTCTGCAGGAACATTTGTCAAATTTCACTCATTTTGCTTACAGGTGCAATTCAAAACAATGCAATTTCCGAACCCAGCCATTCAGTATACAAATTAGTATTTAGTTTAATAGGTATTTGCATTAGTGTAGAGTAACCCCTCAATTTTAGTTTTTTTTTAAAAATATAAGTATATTTATAGTGTGCTCCAGAATATGTGAACAGGGGTTTTCCAGAGAGGCCTTTTTGTGGCAAAATATTTCAGAATGGGAGGGGGTACTTAAAATTCTTTTGGTTATGGAACTGGTCATATAACTTATTTTTTATTGAGAAAACAAGCACCTTCAAGTTTTTCCTTGTGATTATTTGGTTTTATTTTTATTTTTCAGAACAACAAGTAACTTTGCCTCTCAGGGCTCTTCTGCTTCCCCTTCATTGCCACCTACACCAGGGACGTCTCAGCAAAGTCTGTCTCAGGGTCAAACACCAAGAGGTAAAAATTCTTTATAAAGATTTCTTCCAACAAGAATAAAATTTAGTTGGGAACTATTACAAATTCATTCATTTGCCAATATTCTGCATTTTTTTTATAGGAGCCAAACGAGTGCGAGAGACAGACAGCTCTTCAGAAATTATAGAGGCAATAAAAAATTTGCCACCTCCTCCGCTCTTCCAAACTCCATCAGCCCCTGCGTCCCCTGCCATCAGCCCAATATGCATGAGGTTAAATGAAATGATAGAACAGGCGCAGCTGAACCCTGAAAGGAGGGTGGATTTGGAAATTCAATTACTTACTCTTACAAAAAATTTTATATTTGGAGATAAATAAATGTAATTAAGCCAGTGCTTTTGTGTTTTTTCATTTCCTATAATAGCTCTGTTTCAACAGACAATGAGAACTGTAATTTCCAGTTGAAGAATTCATTTGTCAATTAAGATGAACATTCAACCAATGAGTTCAACTCATCGAAAAATAGGTGGTCAACTGGAAATTACTGGGTCTGGAACGGTTCTCACGTCTGTTGGAACAGAGCTATTCAACAAATTTCATATTAAAAGTTGTGAGTTGTAAATTGATTGGTTTGCAGCTGGAACAATAACACTTTTTATATACATGTAAGGAAAACAAAACTTTTGCACAAATCAGTCAACTTTCTCAAACTCAAGAATATTCAATATAAGATACTGTCGGGTGATAAGCCCGGCCATCCTGTTCAAAATTCCATTAGAATAAATTTTTCATAAACAATGTTAACCTGGCCTTATTACCCGATAGTACCTTATAGCATATTAAGATACTGAGGTCATTATTAAAATATAGACTACAAGGTATAAACTCGAATATAAAATCTTTATTGCCAACATAAATCATTTATTCCATTGAAATGGAACTGCTCCATCCATCATGAAGTGTATTGTTAAATCACTCCTGACCATAGCTGCATTGAGAGATTCATTATTACTACCCGTTCTATTAGCAGGAAAAACGTTGGAACTGCCTTCCTCACGCCAGAGCCCATTGACCACGTTTCCATGTTTATCTTCATAGTCCAAAAAGTTTGTAGGACAATACACCTCATGTTTTCCATCCATCAAATAGTTGTGGAGGCATAGAGTTGCTTTAATAATATTTTCAGTTGTTTTCAAACATGTATTTATAGGCCTATGAAAAATGCGCCACCTTGCTGCCCATATACCAAAAGTATTCTCAACAACTCTTCTAGCTCTACTAAGACTGCAAAAAGACATGAATAGTTCTTTTAAAACTTTTATTGACTTACCGCCACATATACTAACCGATAGTTGAAAATTCTCTTCTCTTTTGTCAAAAATCGTCCTGGATATGGCCTCATTAGATTAGGTCTAAGAGGAAAAGCCTCATCTCCAACAATATAAAATGGTACAGTTGCTCCACCATGCTCGATTGGGCAACCTTCAGGAAACTCCAATTGATTGTTCATCAATTTTTTTCCCATCTCAGAATTTCTTAGTATGCCACCATCACTTTGACGACCCCGCGCTCCAATATCTACTAATGTGAACCTATAAAGATGATCGGATATAGCCATTAAAACAATACTATGGCTTCCTTTGTAATTGTAGAAATCTGAACCTGAATTAGGGGGAGCCTGAATAAAAAATGGATGATTAATATTTACCTACTAAATCTTCAGACGTTATACCTATTATACAATATTACCATACCTGAATAACGACATGTTTACCATCCACTGCTCCGACACAATTAGGCATTTGCCATAATTTATTGAAACCATCTGAAATTTCTCTCCACTTCTTGGTATCTGGAGGTTTCAAGTAGTCTTGGGATAAAGACTGCCAAATTATTTCACATGTTTCCCTTATTATATTTGTAACAGTACTTTTACCCACACGGTAGGCATATGAAATGGACATCATACTATCTCCTGATGCTAGGTACCTATTAATATTGGTAGCATTGAGTACCTATTATAATATACAATGTAGTATAGGTAAAAAGTATAAATTCTATTTGTAAACACTCTGTTCTATTTATGATTGATCTGATTATACCTTAAGTAGCTACAAAGCAAAGAGTCAAGTTAGCTGCAAGTATCTCAGATTTTAAGCAAAACGAATTTGTACTTTTTTGAATCTTCTAATTTGTTAAAAAAAATATTGTTACCTTAATGTGAGTGCTAATCTCTCCCCAGGAGAAATTGATTCACGTACAATATTAGATTTTACTAATGCCTGCTCCATTTTGCTTAGAAGATGGTCAAACTGCTCTGGAGACATTCTGATGTAATTATGATGTCTTGATAAATCTCCCACCCGCATCTCTTTTAGCAAATTATTATAGTCCCCTTGTTCATTTCTTTTCAGAAAAATATCTCTAACCCACATTTTCCTTTTTTTAATAATTTTCTGATTCTTTCGTCGATTTTCATGCATCTTATGAATTAATAGCAAACCCAACAAGTAATGTCTTTTCCATTGATAATAATTTAATTGGGCAATATAATTATTATCCATTTTTTTTGAATTAACAGTACAGGCACACAACAAACAACAAAAACAAAAACAAAAAAAATTTTAGGTTAAGATCCCATGAATTTGACATTTAAAAAAAAAATCACTAGGGAATAATATGAAAGACCCTAGATGACAGCTAAAAACCGCATCCGGAATTCCGTTTCATGTGAACCATCAAAAATTACGATTTTCAAAAAACTGCGATTTCCGGACCCGCAATGCGGAATCCCGCACCATGAGAACTAGGCTTTAGAGTTAAAAAGCGTGTAAAAGAATTTGAGTGTTTATACTATTTCCTTTTCCGTATACTTTTCCGTAGTGTTTAAACCGTATCCTTGAAAGTTAATTAATATTTAACTTCTACGGTTAAAGATAAAGAAATATCCGGATGCGCATGCGTAATTTGCAGGAAAATTTTTGGCATCCATGTTTTGATTTTTTTTCTACACCGAACAAGTTCTAGGTTATGTTATGGTTATAGGTTTTGTGGTTATAGTGGATTGTGGATTGTGGATTAATAAAAAAAATACAGTATTCCTAACAAAAATTTAAAAAAAAACTCTGAAACGTGCGTGATTTAACTCAATAGAATGGACCTCGGCAGTCTAATTGACGCGGTTAGGAGTTTTCCCCATTTATGGGATAAAAAACATCCAAAATACATGGATCAACTTGCGAATGAAAATGCCTGGGCAAGCATATCGGCGATTGCGGAGGTATCAAGTGAGTTTAAACATTTAATATATTTTCTAAATTCTTCTTCTATAAAAAAAATACTTATTTTAGTTGAAGACTGCAAACTTGCCTGGAAAAACGCCAGAGAGCGTTACGTAAAGGAGAGACGCCTTAGTACGAAAATTCCTTCAGGATCTGCTCCCTATATTGTGAAATGGCCATTTTATTCCCTCTGTAACTTCCTAGACAATGCAATAAAGCAAAGAAAGTGGGTATTTCAAAATGTGTGGTAAGTAATTGATAAAAATACACCTAAATATAATAGGTCGAAATGTGAAAATATACCTACTCGCTCTCATGCTAGCTTTGGCTTAAAATTTGAAAAATGTTTTAGGACGATCGGAAACATCAAAAAGGTATCAGAGACAGTCGAAGAATGGCAGGAAATGATTATCGATGAAGATGGTAATGTCCTCCCAGCTGAAGAAGATAATATAGATAATTATCAGCTAGAGTCCGATCAAGAGTTGATCAATATCTCAGAACAGGATGCACAGCCTTCAACATCAAAAGAGTTGCCAACTACTTTGGGTGTGAAAAGAAATCAACAGAGTCAACAACAACAAACAATAAAAAAATTAAGAATTGAAAGAAACGACCACCAAAAAAAGACTAAAAATAAAGAGAATGCAATTCAGTCTCTAGTAGAAAATAATAAAATGGTCGGGGAAAGCATCCATGGACTAGTTAAAATGTTGAATGACGAAAAATCATCTGAGGTCTCGGAAGAAGACATGTATTTTGGCAAATCAGTAGGGGCTTCACTATCAAAAATTAAAGACTTTAAGAAAAAACTTAAAATTAAATCAAAAATAATGCTCTTATTATGTGATGAAGTCGATGAAGACACAGAATAGGAAAAATGTAATTGCAATAATTGACTCTAAGGCTAGAAACACAGTGAAAGCAGGTTGCCTGCTTACCGGCAACCATCACTGATAAGTTCGTCATCAGAAGACCTGGAGGACATATATGACGCTAATAAAGTGGAGCAACAATAACACTTTTAAATACCAACATCCAGACAGTTTGTTGCTCCACTTTATTAGCCTCAAATATGTCCTCCAGGTCTTCTGATGACGGACTTATCGGCGCTGGTTGCCGGTAAGCAGGCAACCTGCTTTCACTGTTTTTCTAGCCTTAATCTTCTGATCTCGCCAGTGCCAAACCTGTTAGCTCTTATTGTTTAAAGAATAATTTTGTCTATTTTAGTAATGTTTATGTAGATATAGGTATGTTATTCATTTTGTAGGCATATTATTATTTATGTAACATGTTTTGTGAAATATTTGTTTTCTGGAGTAGGTAGGTACAGGGTAAATAAATAAAGGAAAAAATATGTATAGTTTATATAATATTTATGAAGGTATTAAATATAAATTTAAACACCCGGAGCACCTCCTCTATATACATAGTCCTCTTGCCAGTCAACAGCTCCTTCTGCCGAGACGAAATATCTCGCAAGTAGATCACGCTGCTCGCCTACCGACTTCATAAAATTATTAGTACCTATTTTTCTAACAGATTTCAGCGTTTGGTTTGTATTTCTCCAGTGACCATCATACAAAATTCCATCTTCTCCAACATAATCTGCGAATCCAGTGGGGCAATATTTTCTATCTCCAGCTGGAAGATCTAACTCGTTACTTTGCAGGAAATTATGGAGAACTATGGTAGCCAGAACAATAAACTCTGCCATTTCAACGCTGGCCTCAATTGGTCTTAGCAAAATTCTCCATCTTTGAGATAGAATCCCAAAACTGTTCTCTATAGTTCTTCTGCCCCTGGATAACCTGTAGTTGTAAATGTTTTTTTCTGGTCCTAAATGTTTTCCCGGATATGGGCGCATTATATGTTTATGCAAAGGGAAAGCTGCGTCAGCTGCTATATAATAAGGGAATTTTATATTTGAGTTCGGAATGAATGAAGCTGGGGGTATATCCAGTTGCTCAGTCAATAGTTTTTGGCCAAAACCACTATCTTTGAATACAGTGCTGTCATGGTTACCACCTGCAGCCCCAACATCTATACTTGTAAATCTATAATATGAGTCACATGTTGCCATTAGAACTAAACTGAAACTTTTCTTATAGTTAAAAAACAGAGATCCAGAGTTTTTTGGTGCTTTAATATTGACATGTTTCCCATCGACTGATCCAATACAATTGGGCAAGTTCCACCGATTAAAATAACCATCTGCTATTCTTAGCCAATCTTCGTGCTTTAAGTCAGGCAACTGAGAAGAGCGAAGGACTTCCCATATCACTTGGCAAACTTGTTTAATGATACAATGCACTGTGGTTTTGCCAATTCTATAGGTCCACGCTATCTGTTGCATTGAACAACCATGAGCAAGGTAACTAGATAAAGGTCCTAATGTTAAATATGTTTCTAATAAAAAAAAGTGAATACTTACTGAATTGTTATGAGCAGTCTTTGTTCAGGTGAAATGGGGTTTCTGGATCTTTTCAACTTTGTTAAGTGAGGCCCTACTTCAGATAATAGAAACTTAAATAGTCCTGGCGTCATTCTGGTTAATTTAAAGAACTGTTCCCTGTCCCATTCTTTCTTTTCCATATCCTTGAAGACAGTATAGTAAAAACCTTCTTTATTCCTTGCCCTATTCATAGGTCTCACTGCGAAACGTCTCGAACGTTTGGAAGATTTGTATAAGGTAACTGCATTTGTGCTCATTTGGAGCAACAATGAAGCAATAATAGCTACAATAATTGTTTTTTTCTTCTCGATAATCATTACTTACGCCAGCTCAAAAATAGATTTTGAATAGAACAAAAAAATCAGTTGTTTTGTGTTTGTGTTATGATCACCTGTTAAAAGTCATATATGTCATTCTTAAGGGTTATGGATAAATTTAAAAACCAATCTATAAACACAACATTTCCTTAAGGAAAAAGAAAACGCTAAAGATACGGATAAGGTTAAAGAAACGGAAAAAGGTTGGAACTATAAACCAGCCTTTATTGAGGATAATAAATTATTATTGTGTGGTAAATTTGGTAAGTTTAATTGTGAATATCAATATACATAGCGATTTAAAAAATAATATATTTTTTTATGTCATACCAATACATTATTGTGTTTTTATACCTTAGATACCATCCACATAATTCATTACTTTATGCCCGTGCGGGCATAAAGTACACATTATGGCCCGCGCGGGCATAATGACGCAAAAAACAGTTTTCAATTAACTTATTCTTTATTAACAAAATATAAATTTACGCTTATAAACATATTATTTTTGTCAAAAAATGATGATGTTTGCACACTAATGACAATTTGCGAAGTGACACTTTTTTCCCAGGTATTTATTATTCACAACCAACTGGTATGACATAAAAGTTTGTATGCACCACGGGTACTAATAGATATATATATATACCCTCGGGCGACTTCCCGCTAAACATGAAACATTCTTGAAACATTTCATATTTGCAAAAATATTGCACAAATGTAACATAAAACAAATAAGTTTAAAAAATGTTTCTGAAACATTTAATTTTTTTTTTAATTCCATAAATAACACCTATACCAAAACCTACTGTTTTTATTAATACCCTAGTGGAATTTTCATTTATTAAAGTCAGTTTTTTTATTGAAGACAAAAGTTAAAATGACATTATGTTGGCAATACAATGTAAAACTGTCAATTCTCTCAAAATTTCAAATTTTTTACGTAAAAAAGGCTTGTGTTGCCAATATAGTTACTGAATTTATGATTTGTGAATTTGTTTTTAATAAAAAACAGACTTTAGGAATCGTGTAGGAGCATTCGTCACTAGGATTAGTCAGGAAAACACCGGTTTCGGTTAAAGAAGAAATAAGCCGTACTATCAAATCAAGCTGACTGCTGAAAAACTCAACTGGACTTCCTTTTTTTTGCTGGTGATTTTCTATCTAACTCAGTTTACATGCGATAGAAAAAGAAAGCAATAGTCCTAAACAAAAACGTGATGGAGTGAAAATTCTCATATTTGTGTCTCTGTCTGTTATTTGTGTAGTGTAGTGTTTCCATACTCCGTCAGCATACTGTCATATGTCATATCAATTGATATGTCATCGCGTCATTCGGGAAGTGGAGTGGAGTGGAGGTGTTATTGTCTTGTCCGTCCAAATTATTATAAATAAAATAAAAAAAAGTTATTATAATTAACCCGAAATGAGTGCTTCTGATGATGATGCTCCAAAAACATTGGTAAGTAATCTGATTTTTTTATTTTAATTGGTGAAATCCATTGAAAATTCTAAAAATTCTAAAGCTAACCTATAATTATTCTGGAACCAAACAAACTGAATTTCGCTCCAATTTTTGGGACTAAGCTAACGATTTTTTAATGTGCAATTCTTTCGCGCCAACTTTGCACTTGTGTTCTCTTTATTTCAATTCATCAGTCTAATTTTTGTAAGATTTTTACATTATTTTGAACCCAATTTTGAACAAATGGGACGCACAAAGAAAAAGATGGTGTCTAAAAGACATCTTCGGCGTTTGGTTAATATGGAAGTGGAAAAAGAATTAGCAAAATCCAGAAGTTCATTTTGTACCCGAAAAATAGCACCAGATGATTCTTGTGGTGAACCAATAAGTGAAGAACTGGATGGCCTGTGCAATCACATTGAGAATAAAACATATTTAGATACAAGAATCGAGGAATCTACCACTGCAACTACTGCAACTAGTTATCCCTGTATTTATCCCAACTATTATCTTTTGCCTGAGAGTGAGAGTATTCAAGAAAACCAAAATGATGCTGATACTGAATTTGTGAAATCTGTACGGGGCTGGTTTTTGAAGTACCGTGAACTTCTAAGCCAAAGTGCAATGAACGAACTGCTTTTAATTTTAAAACCCAAATGTAAAACTTTACCTAGTGATAGCAGAACATTTTTAAGTACTCCACAATCTTGTCAGTTTCCAATATCGGTTGTGTCCCCAGGAAAATATTGTCATTTTGGATTAAAATATATGTTACAGAATATATTAAATACCAAAAATCTGCTAGAGTTTTGCGAAGACGGAAAAACCCTTTCCTTATCGCTCAGCATTAATATTGACGGTTTACCACTGTCAAGGAGTTCAACAAGTCAGTTTTGGCCAATTTTGATAAGCATTGATAATGAAAATTTAGAATGTCCCAATCCATTTCCAATAGGAGTTTATCATGGTTTTAAAAAACCAGAGTCAGCTTTGAAGTACCTGCAGGAGTTTCAGATCGAATTCAAACAACTAGAAAACGGCTTTCGCTTCAAAAACATCGAAGTGAAAGTACAAATTTCAAAAATAATATGTGACGCACCAGCGAAGTCCTTTATTTTATGTGTGAAGGGTCATACTGGTTATTTTAGTTCTACAAAGTGTGTGCAAGAAGGTGAATATATAAATGGCAGAGTGACTTTTCCGGATCTATCAGCTGTCTTGCGTACAGATGACGACTTTCAAAATAAAACTTGTGAAGACTATCACAGAGGAAATAGTCCTTTTGATGAACTATCTGTGGGTTTAGTGTCTCAGGTGCCACTGGACTACATGCACTTAGTATGCCTAGGCGTTATGAAACGTCTGATTATTTTTTGGGTTAAGGGAAATAAAAGTGTCAGATTACCTGAACTAAAACTTAAAACTGTTGACGAAAATTTAATCACTTTAAAATCAAGTATTCCAAAGGAGTTTTGTAGGTTGCCAAGAGGTTTGCAAGAAGTTGATCATTTTAAAGCAACCGAATTCAGGCAAATTTTACTATATACAGGACCATTTGTTTTAAAAAATAATTTATCTAAAATTCAATACTCACATTTTATGTGTTTGCATGTTGCTATCAGAATTTTGTGTAGTGCAAATTTGTATATTACATATAATAATTATGCATCTCAACTATTGAAATATTTTATTGAAAAATTTGCAGTAATTTATGGTGCTGAGTATGTATCCCATAATGTGCATGGACTTTTACATCTACCTTCGGACTGCATTAAACATGGAGTCCTTGATAATTTTAGTTCATTTCGATTTGAAAACTATTTATATATCTTGAAAAAAATTATGAAAACATCTAAGCATCCCCTGCAGCAACTGTGCAATCGCTTGAAAGAAAAAGAATTAAATTTAATACCATTCAGTAAAAGATCAAATAAGCCCATTATACTTCACCAAGAAATTGCAATGTATTTGCCAGGCTATCCAAATTGCACTTTTTTTTAAAAGATTGCAAAT